GCAGAGGTGTCAGGCCTGGGCAGGGGACCCCCAGCTCCCCGCGGTTGCAGGCTCCGCCCCTGCCCAGGCCTAACGCCTCTGGCCTAGGTGTCCGGCCCGGGTAGCGGGGACCTGCAGTGGCAACGGGGGGTGCCGCAATCACGCGGGTTCCGCCCCTGCCCCTGCAGGATGCCTCTGGCTGAGGCATCCAGCACAGGCAGCGGGGACCCGCAAGGGACCCCTAGCTCCTGGGACTGCCAGCTTCAACCATGCCCAGCTCCCATCGCTAGCTCACCCCTACTTCCTGCTATCACTGGCCAGGGCGGAAAAGGCACCTGATTCTCCGCCTTTGCCCTGCCCCCCAGCTCTTAGTTACCCCCTGGGTTTCCGATCACTGTCAGTGGCAGGGGGCTTCTTCCTGCTTTCCCTTTCGCCTCCCTGCATTGTGCCTACATATGCAAATTAACCACCATCTTGTTGGCAGTTAACTGCCAATCTTAGTTTGCAGTTAATTTGCATATAGCCCTGATTAGCCAATGAAAAGGGTAGTGTCGTACGCCAATTACCATTTTTCTCATTTATTAGTGTAGATATAAAAACATGTATTTTGCATTGTAAATTTAAAATTTAATGATGTAACTTGGAGATGTTTGCATGAAACTACAATAGCTCTATTATATTCTTATTAGTGACACATAGTATTCCATAATAAAGTCTACCATAATTTAACCATTCATCTAATGAAGTATAATTTCAATTTCCTCATTGGTAAAGGGTGAAAAAGTAAAAGATGTTCTCGGAGGATTAAATGAACTTAGCACATTGCCTACAACTTAAGCACTCAATCTATAATAATAAAAGGGTAATATGCTAATTAGACCAGACGTCATTCTGGACATCCTTCCTGACAAAGCTGGGGCCGAGGGAAGCCAGCCCAGGTCCCGGGTGCCTGTGGGCAGCTGGAGGAGGAAAGCAGCCCGGGTATCAGGTGCCAGAGGGAAGCCAGTGCTGGCAGCGGGGAAAGGAAGTCCTACTTTTGCACAAATGTTCGTGCATTGGGCCTCTAGCTAGTTAATAAAAGTAAATGGGCTTTGGAGTCAGATAGACATGGATTCACATTCCATTCTCTTCCCTTACCAGCTATGGAACCTTATTAAATTACTCAATTTCTCTAAGTTTTCCTATTTGAAAGTGGAGTTTATGATAACTGCTTCGTTGTTTTTTATGACAGTGCAGTGCAATCATACAGAAACACCTAGCACACAGTAGGAACTTAGTGTTTCTTCCCTCCTAAATCATTTGATCTCATGAAAATGGTATTACTTCATTAGAGTACTGTCACAGAATCAATACCACAACATTTTCACAAATAAAGAAAACAAGGGAAAAACCCTAATGTTGAATTCAAAGAGAAACAAACAAACCCATCTATCAAATTAGTAACATTACCATGCAGTAGGGGCAAGGGGGAGGAAATTAAATCTTTTTAGTACAGTGTTTATACTATACACTTGCAAATATACTCTAAAGACAAAAGCAAAGAATCGTTTGAGTTTTTGCAGATAGTAGTATGGGTATAGTAATTCTGGAACATTTTTTTTGTGTATTAGGTTGAGCAAATGAGTAAATATGATGATGTTGCTGGGAGTTGGTTTTCTTAGTGGGAGAAAGGAGATATAAATATAGAATGGGATAAGGATAGGAAGAATCATGTGGAGGTTCTTAAAAAATTGGAATTAGCAGTAAAAACACGAACTCATGATTCTGTTAAAGAAAAAATGCGCTATGTATATACCATAATGTGTGTACATATATGTACAGGCCTGGAAACAATAAGACCCTTGGTAATTAGTAAAACTGATCTGGTTTCTAAATATCCTTCACCACTAAAAGGAATTAGAGCTCCATGGAAAAATAGCTAACTCCAGAGCTGTGTAAAGATAAGCTTGGATATCTACCAGAAAGTAAGGAAGTGCTAGAAATTAACAGGGATATTTCAGAAAGACAGGAGCTTGAAAGAGTTCTCACTGGACAAATCTGGGACCACATGAGTATTAAAATGATACCAATGAATATAACATTGAACAAGGAAAGGATCCATGAATACATACTAATACAAATAAATAAAAGTCAGAAAAGGGGTGAAATAATCCTCAGTGGACTAGAAGAGGAAATGCTTGCAGTAAAAGGAAGAGAAATCACTATTGTTACTGAATCACTATAGTTACTAAAGTGCTGGTTATTTGGCTAGGTTCTTTTCACATCAGTCATTGAAAATGCTACCAGCCAGTCAGGACCCATAGCTCTAGTTTTAAAGCCGGTTTTGGTTTTGGTTTTTCCATTATACGTGGCTGCTTTTCTCAACCGGCTTTTCTCTTGTGTGTTGAGTTTCAAACACAATGGATGAATTTCTTTGTATCTCTCCTTCACAGGCTTTTCAGATGTGGATCATACCTATGCTCAAAGAACTCAGCTCTTTGACACCTTAGTAAATTTCTTTCCTGACAGCATGACTCCTCCTAAAGGCAACCTGGTGGACCTCATCACACTGTAACTGACGAGTCACTGGACAGAAATGGAGACCAGGAATCTGCTTTCAGTATTCTGGATTTCAACTCCACTGACCGACAGGCCGCAGTGACTGAGGACTGCACCAGAATCCCGAAGGGATCTTTACCATCACAAGTTCTAACCCTCTTTCTTCATACCTGACCTCAGCCCCATTCTCCTCATCCCATTCCTCAGTTAAGTTAATAATAAAGTGAAATTGGTATACTTTCCATTTAAATATATATATATTTTTTACTTTAACTTTTAAAATTTAACGAGTATAAAAAATAATAATCAGGTAGTTTACCCTTTCCTGATTTTTATTTCATTTTTATAAAATTAGGGCAAGTAAGCACTATTAACAGACCCAGTGCTATAAGAATTGGGATTGTGTTGTTGGGTTGTGTGACCTTCTTCTTTCTCCTCCTTTCCCATTTCACTTTACCTTGCATCACACAGCTGCTTGTAGGTGGTGTCACTTGTTTACCTCTTCATTCTTAACAGTATATAGTTCTGTAGGGCAACTGATGTATGTTAAAGTGATGTGTATATGTCTCTGTTGACTAGAGTCTTGTATTCCATTAAGCAATAGGAGAAACAGAGGGCTCAAATATATGTTCCTCTTCATAGAATTGAAAAATGAAACCCAAGATTGGTCCAGGCACTTATCTGAGATTGGTCTGTAGTGTTTCTATGGTGGATATTATAAGCTTTGAGTCACAGAAACTTAAACAGAAGAGTATCGTTCAGAACCTTTAAGAGCCATTATAAAAGTTACCAGCAGGAGGATTCTAGAAGTGATTAATATGTTCATTGATATCTTTGTGGCAGTTTTGGAAGAAAATGGCTTTCCCCTCTGATAGAGCTGCACAGACCCAGGGCTTCCATTACTTACTGTGCTATTAATCCGTAGCATTTTCATTTGGGAGTATGGGTGTCCAGAGCTCTGCCTTGTTGATCCAGACACATTGGCTTCGCACATCTGCTTCTGCATACTGATTAAAGAATGCTGGCGTGTGGCTGTCCAGTGGAATATAACTGACAGGCATTTCACTAAGCACATAGACTAGGCTTTTTTAAATGAAGGAAAAGAAAAATGGTGCAAATACTTTTTCATTAAACTAAAAAAGAAAAAAGCAGATAGGTCTGTCTATTTTTTGTGGGGGGTGGAGATATTTATTGTTCCATGAGTTGCTATGGAATGCAATATAGGAAACCTACACCTGACCAGTGCTTATTACATTTGCTGAAAAGTATGCTGTGTTAAAAACAAGTTGTATTAAAAAAAAAAAAAGTGTGCCGTGTGCAACTGATACCCACCATGCTTAAAGCAGACTAAGTATAATGAATGTTCATCAGTCCAATGGCTCTTAAAAGTGAATGACTTTATGGAATTCAGTATGTACTTGAGTAGCAAGATTAGGTCTCACCAAAGAAAGAGGAGAAATTGAGTTGCACTTTTGAAAAGTCTCATATATAGGAATGAGACTTGGAGATCCATCTTCACTCTGTATTGCATGATTTTACTTCTTTTGGGGATGGACAGAAATCTATTTTTCCTAGTTCTAGGCTTGAATCTTGGGCTTCTTAGCTTTCCAAACTTCCCAAAGCAATCAATATAGTGATTTATTAAACAATTAGATCTGTACCTTACCTTGTGAAAAATATATAATTTAGTAAGTACCAAAATTTGTGTAGCTGCAGAATAACCAATTGACTTTACAGATGAGCACATAGAATTTACTTATATACTTGTACAGTTTCATAAAATGATTTTTCTGAGTGACAGTCTAGAATATAAAATATTAATATCACTAATATGGTAGCCAATTGAATCTCATTTTGTGAAAACAAGTACAAATCAAAGAGTTGATAGGGAAGAACTTGAACTTGATGAGTTTCTAAATTTAAAACCTTGAATTTTGCTCTCTGTGAATTCTGGCACTTTAAAAACATTAACCAAATGAAGTTCTGCTGCCCTCCACGATTTATTTTTATAATGCTTTGTCATTTTTTTTTCATTCATTTAGATTCCATATTTGGAGGGAACTCAGTGACTTTTTTGTTCTTGTTTTCCCCTGATAGTACCAGTAGTTTTGTTTTGTTACATACGCTTATTTTAATTTTATCTTTTACTTTATTTAGGTGTGGGACTTTTCCTCTTTATTTCTGATTTTTTTCCCCCAAACCTGTTTAAATGGGGTTGAATGATAGCAAACACTTTGATGTTGCTTAAGTGAGAAACTGTTGAGATTATTGACTAGGTAAATCAGCGTTTGTATCATGGGGCTTTACACTGCTGGTAATGATTGTAGGAGAATGTCGGGCTTCATTATATCCATGCCCAAGAGTGACACATTGCTCACATTTCACATCACTGTTTTGAAAAATACTTATAGATGTAATGAGTAACTGCATTTATTTCCAAGAATTCCAGCAGTATATTTAATTTAAATAATCTAATTTGGTATTTAGATACATTGTTTAGATAGCCAAGTGGCTGTTTTACTATTTTTTAAATCTTCCTAGTTTAGTAAATCTCAGATTGAAACACCTGGTTTATGCTAGTTAGTGGACTACAGTTAGTTCAGTTTTATTATCCCCAGCTTCAGCTTCGTTCCCATTTCTCTTTTCTTCCAGCCAAATGTATTATTCCAGAATAGTAAACCAGAAATAGTTTATTTAAACTAGAAGTAAACTAGATCTTCATCATTTTTAGTGCTTATACTTCATGAGAAATTCTCTGACTTGCAAGGCACTTCTAAAATTCATCTGCATTTTGTGGAATGACAGAGACCTCATGTGGCCAGCTTGATTCATTCAAATGTATCAATCTCTTATTCAGGCAAAGAAATTTAGACTTGAATGTCTAACTTTGTGCTAAAGCTGACAGTATTAACCTTTAGCAAGATCTTTTTTTAATGTATTTTTATTGATTTCAAAGAGGAAGGGAGAAGGAGAGAAAGAAAGAAACATCAATGATGAGAGAAACATCAATCTGCTGCCTCCTGCACGCCCCCTACTGGGGATTAAGCCTGCAACCCGGGCATGTGCCCTGACCGGGAATTGAACTGTGACCTCCTGTTCCTAGGTCGACACTCAACCACTGAGCCACTCCAGCCAGGCAGCAAGAGCATCTTTTTAAACCTGGTTTTCATTTACATTAAAATTGGCCTATGCATGTCTAATAAGTAAAAACTGATAGAGCACATTAGAAAGTTAACTCTTTGGTTTATCATAGACCAGCTTGTTAGATTCAGAGCTCAGTTACTTAAGATTGTAAAACTATTCTTGGGTGAAATATGTATGTTGAATATAAATGGTTGCCAGCTTATCCTCCAGTGGGTCTTTTCACATCTGCCTTATAAATGCTATTTACAGAAACATGATCAGTTTTATTTAATAAAACAGTTTTAAAATCTAACCTGCAAACAATAGCTAGTTTGAGGCACTTAATCATTTAGTGAGGAATGGAGAATGATGCTTAATGGATGAAAAATCACTTAAAAAGGAGTATGTTCCTGATTTATTCTCTGAATTATACTGTTTCATGAGAATTACATGAGAAGTTACCTGTAATTATTCCTACCACCATATGAAATTCATTGAGTAATTGTGGGTCATTGATTATTTCCTGAGTAAATGTGTTAATTCTTTAGCTGGTTGGATGTTGCAAAGCAGTTGAGGATTACGGATTCAAGTGAATTATCTGTGGGCTGGGGTGTCCTTACAATGTGTACTCCAAACAGTCACCTAGACATAAAAATAGACACCCTTCATAACCCTTCTTTTCTTAGAAATCGATGTTCATCTGCATTGTCATCCTTTTGTAGATTCTGACCTGCATTTTCACCAAGTTTTAAATTCTTAAAATAGCCTTGATCTGGGATGTGCAGGCTTCCTCAGAAGAGGTTTATAGGAGAAGTATCATAAAGGGTCTGCACATGGCAGTGCTGGAGGATTAGATTTTTTGGGCTCTTTCACTCAAAGATTATTTTCTTTTTTTAATCCTCACCCGAGGATATTTTTCCATTGATTTTTAGAGAGAGTGGAAGAGAGATGGAAAGAGAGAGAAATACCGATGTGAGATAAACACATTGACTGGTTGCCTCCTGCACGAGCTCTGGCTGCAACCGAGGTATGTGCCCCTGACTAGAACCTGAGACCCTTCGGTCTGCAGGCCGACACTCTATCCACTGAGCAAAGCCAGGGCTCAAAAATTCTTAAAGTCCTAATTAGTCAAATAGCATCCTTCTTTTGTGTTTTTTTGTTTGTTTGTTTTTTTACTCTGGGCTGTATCTCCCTGTGCTTTGTACTCATGCTGAAATGACTTGGCTATCTTAAACTTAAAGTCTGCAGGTATGTCAGTTGAAGGGGGAAGTTTCCAAGTTTGTTGAAGTAATTAGCCTACTAAATCAGCTGAATGATGTCATTATTTGTTTTGGCAGGAAGGACTCATTGCAATTTATGGATTTCTTCATCAAGTGCTTTTCATTTTTCTCAAAAAGTACTGTCTTAGAGATTTTATTTATACATAATTTTAACCTTGATTTCCTTCTACCCACTAAATACTGTGAGTTGTGTTGTCGTTGTTTTTCTGACTATTCCTCTTTTAGCCCTAGACTTTCTAGGTTTTATATGGCATTGCTTACGGGTGTTGTGCTGCTTGTGAAAAAAATGTCATAATCATTCTGAGACATCATTTATCCTTGTTTATGACAACGGAATAGTGAAGTTAACACTTGCACATTATTAGAGAATTAATGTTCAAATATTGTTATAAAAATGCTTGTCATTTTCATATGGGGGATAGTAATATGGTTATGGCAGCTTTAATGGAGGAGCCAGTGTTGGCTTCTTTTCCTGTCACTAGGAAGTTTACTCATAAAGTTATTGATAAGGTACAAGTTTCATAGCAGAGCTTATGGAATTCACATCACCAGCATTTCCATTTGCCTACTGGCTTTCCTTTCTTTATACTTTTTAGCCTTTTCCCCCTACTCCCAACTCCTCCGAGTAGCACTGATTTTCTGCTGAAATTGGAATTTGTGTTAAGAATTGACTTTTAATTTCAATATAATTGAGCATTGATAATAGCTTTGATTGCCATGAAATGATTGGTATTCATTTTTTCTTAAATAAAAGTAATGCAGGCTTAGACATGTCTCTTCCCCTCAACAATGCGAATTTAGTTCAAATTCCAAATGACTAAATCTTATTCCTAGTCATAGCCAGTGATAAAGTCCTCTGACA